GTTTTTTAAATTTTTTTTTTTTTTTTTTTTTTTTTGTAAAGTTGTCTGGTTTTGTCTCGTCTTTGAGAATGTAACGTTGTCTGGCTTCGTCTGGTCTTTGAGAATGTAAAGTTGTCTGGTTTTGTCTCGTCTTTGAGAATGTAACGTTGTCTGGCTTCGTCTGGTCTTTGAGAATGTAAAGTTGTCTGGTTTGGTCTCGTCTTTTAGAATGTAAAGTTGTAAGCTCCTGTAAAGATGAAAATTTCATCTTCACGTGTTTATGGCGAACATGGCTCTCAACTAAATGTTGGAAAAATTAATTTCGTTTTTAAAAGACAAAATAAGAATAGCTTCTCAACGTGACCGCAATAGCAATTACTGAAGTCATTGGTCGATAAAGAAAACGGTCATTTCCCCTTTAAGGCGTGGTTTCTTGACCAGTGAAGACAAAAAGTGTTCGACCGTCTCAGGAAGTCAGCTCAGTCAACACAACGTTCGAAATTGTTAATCGCCTTTAAATAATTATTGTTTGGAAAACTCGGGCCAATGGCAATATCTCCTAATGTCCTTTTTGCAGCTTAGCAGTGGTGATGTGATGAACTACCGACCCACCATTGATGCGCATTGTTTGTAAATGTCTACAGCTAAGGTTTTTAGAACCTTTTGGATTATAGTTTTTTAGCGGTCGACATGAGTTTCTATTCAGTTAGACAACTGCTGGATTAACGACCACTCAATCTCAGAGTTACAGCGTCAACACCATTATTAATTATGTTACATTGTTTCAAGGAGATTGCTGTAACCTAAATACTTTTTCTTTTTTCAAACACTTTGGGTTCTGAATTAATTATCTTATCAGTGGCATAGGAAAAAAAATACTTTGTGATGGTATCTATAGGACTACTCAATGAACTTGAACTTTTTAACTACAACTTGAACATAAAATAAAGAGAGAATGACATCATGGAACCACGATTTGACGCAACTTGCACGCGTCCTCTCTCTACCTTGACAATCACCAGTAGGTCTGATTTTAATTGTACTGCTTTAAATAATAACACATTGGTAAAGAACTACATTCTATTTCCCCTGTCTCTTTTTATCTGTCTGTCTGTCTGTCTGTCTGTCTCTCCCCCCCCCTCTCTCTCTCTCTCTCTCTCTCTCTCTCTCCGTTTTTCTCTCTGCTGAATTGTATTTAGGAGTCCGTGTCTACGATGTCTTTATTTAAACTCAATCATTTCTTACTTTTGCTGCCCTAAACTAGTATTGCCATGAGCAGTAAGTTCAGTGTGTATACCGGATACAGTCACCATTTCAATTCCCAAAAGTATACCTTTCGTACGCCGGCTCTATCTTCTCTACGTTATCACGGGGACTTGTCTTCCTCATTTATTCTCTGTACGTCGACTCTATCACCTGGCCAATACTATCTTGTAAGCTGTAACCTGCCACTTTTTAACCCAAGGATGTTGGTTGGGTCATAACCAATTGAGGAGTCGTGCATTTCTACCGACTACAATCCCGTTGAATGTGTTCCAAAAAAAAAAATAATTATAAAACTGCTAAAAGACATACGTAGGTATTGCCAGCGTTTTCCCCTTGAAATAAAAAAAAATCCACTCAAGTTACATTGATCATAAATATTAATACAAAAACATGAAAGAGTCTTTTTATATAGTGTTTATTCTTTTTCAATAAATAATGAAACTGAAATGACTATTTTAATCAGTAAGGAGACAGCAGTTGGATCAGTCTGGGTAAAAAGAAATACATTTAAAAAATTATTTTTTAATTAAAAATTTAGCAACAAATATTCTTTTCACCGTTCCCTGCTCGGATGTAGATAAATTCATGACATTTCGTTCGCCATGCAAAACTTGAAGGCACTGGTTTAATGAGCAGCTGTTTAGCAAAGGTTGCCAACTACATTAGATGTACAAGCGGGCGTCACCAATGACCCTGAGATATACAAGCAACAGACAGTAATGACCATAGATGTACAAGCAATAGTCCTCAATGGGCCGAGAAGAGAGTAGTTTCACGGGACCTTGTCATTCTCATTTATTCTCTAAACCAAAATTGTAGAAAATAATAATTAACCGAATAGGTTTGTCAAATATTTTAGAACTAATTTATTGTTGTTGTCTTAATTGTAGTTAAACTTTTTTTCCCAAGTCAATCTATTCCAATGACTTGGTTTGTGGAGAGGGGAACCAAACAAAACTATAACTAGAACATATTGACAAGACAATGTCGTGACAAGATGGACACTTGAGGGCAGGGTTCAGGATGTTTCTGTCGCAGGATTACTTTCCATTCATGGTTGGCTCACGGAAATCAGCAAAGGGAGTGGATCCAATCCTTGCAGGACACTCGACTCGTGCCAGCTGCTGGGGTTCTCAGGGACGTCGATGACAACAAGGAATGCAGTCTTATCTTGACCCACGTCATGAAATCATGGCGGCGACCTTAAAAGGTACCATATGTATTTTTTGCAATGAAAGCACACATGTTTACACACATTTACACACAATTTACACACAATTAACACACAAACACATTTGAAATGAAAAGATGTACAAGTGTTAAAAAATAATAAAATAAATTAAAAAAAACACTGACACGCACATCAAAACCGCTTATGAATGTATGTTTAAACTGAGTCATAAGATAATGTCTTGGTCATGTGATGTCATCCCTTAGCCAGGCACATAAAATTGCGTTCTGCCAAAGATTTTAAAACATCTATTATCTTTTCTTCTCTCTTTTACACGTTTTTATTTTAAGATTCTAAGTTCAGTAAAATTGTAAATCTTTGCTCTCTGTAGCTAGATAAGAATACCTCATTCAAATTTTTTTAGATTACATCGTATATAATATTTTTGAGCGTGTTAAAGTTATTTTCAAAAAAACTAAAATAACTGATTCTAATTAAGATAAACTAATTTAAAATAGAGCAAATTCAACGTTAGTTATTTTTAATTATTTCTGAAGTTCAATCGCATGACATCAAACTGATTTATAGCATAGACAGCAAGCATATCACGACTACTTTCGGTAAAAAATGCTGCTTTCAGTGTATGATATTGTAAGGATTCAGCTGTTTATTCGCTGCTCTAAATATTCTTATCAACATTACATTCGAAATATGTATTTCATAAACCCCATGGTTAATAATATTGTAA